TGAAAGCAGAGCAACTTTCTCCTACCTACCAAGTTACAGAGAAGGCTTGTGGCAGCTGATGGAAAAAGGCCATGAATTACATCCCCAGCCTCTCCTGTTGAGCCGTTTGCGAACATCTTGGTGAGGAGATCCCAGGAGGCTTCCAGGAAGCAAAATAAAGCTCCTAAGCCCTTGTCAGTGCAGGCAGTCTCTGCTTGTCTGCCTACATCCATGTGGACATTTTGCGTTTCAGTAGCTGCTAGTCTCTGTTGTCATTTAACAGGAAAAAAAAATGACATTTTCCTCTGTGTTTTCAATTCTCCCTAGAGCTGGCTGCATTTTCTCTGAATACCAGAGCTTTGAATTTCACTGAGGAAACAAACCAACCAAAAACGCACAACAATTCTGGAACCCACTGAGTTTTTCACCGTTTCTCAACCAGGAGAAGGAAAGCATAGCCAATGGTGAGTGGCAAATATGGGTTTGTTAACCTCCACTGGCCAAATCTAGTGACTAATGTCTCCCTTCTTTTGGATGAAATGTGATTAGCAGATGTACATCGGTCTTGAAAAACAATTGGGAAATGAAGGGTTCTAGTAAAAGTTGGGAAGTTAGGAAACTATGGAGATCATTACTTAGGAAGCTGTATCCTCTGCAGTAGACCCATAGCTGGAAGGATACAACAAAACAAGCTATGCTGGCAATAAATGATACAACAAATAAACTCTTCAACTTTACTAACTGGGAAATTAATTCAACTACACAGTTACCCCAGATTTTATTTCCTTCCTAAAAGTAAATATGCTCAAGTCTGCACGGGAGAGAGAAAGAGTCTGAAAAATAAGCAGTTTTTCATGACTTAAAAGAAGCCTGAGATTTTTGCCAGAAATACAAGCTATGACTATCAGAACGAAACTGGCAGTGGAACTTCATGTACGTACTAGGGCGCCTGTTGCTCCCCACCTTTCTGTTTGCTGTGGGGTGGGGGGGGAGAAGAACAAATAGCACCGTGGCGGAGCACGGGGCTCAGTGGGCTGGGTGGGCAGGTAGCAGGAGCTGGGACCAGTCGGACTCGCTGCATGACACTGGGAAAACTGTTTCACCTGTCCCTGTGCCACAACATCTCCAGCTACAAAATGAGATAATGAGCCTGGCTTTTCCTTATAAATAACTCAAACTAACTTTCCTTATGAATGACTTTCCTTATAAATAACTTTCCTTATAAATAGCTTACATGGCAAATACTACATAGGACATAACAGTCTCTGTGGCATTTTTGGTAATAAACACATTTCCAAACCCAAATAGCTCAGTAAAACTGTTGCAGATGCTATGCTTCTTAAGGGAAACATGTGCTATCAAAATGTGTTGTTAGTATAAAAAAACAATTAATTGGGCTGGTTTAAATGTATTAGCAAGCATCTAACCTGCAGTAATGTAATTGCAAAAATTTAATTGCAAAATTAAGACAATTAGCAAGGCAGCCCTCAATGTTCACGATACTACATCTATTTTATGCAGAAATTGATAGTATCTCAAGCACCCTATAAAATAAAATAATCACTAACTAAACACGGGGTTTTTTTGCTAATCTTCTGGGTTAGAGTTAAAACAAGCAACTTTACCCACTGGTCACAGAGGGGCTGCTTACTCAGGCTGGAAGCCAGTCCATGCCAGCATCCACTGGATTAAATCCACATGACGTAGCCCAGTGTAACAGCAATCCCCCAGGGACTAACAGACCAAAGAGGTGTCTTGTGATCCCGATTCATGTGCACGCAGAGCAAGACCCACATCTTCCAACAATTAAGCAGATAAACAAGCTGCAATCACAGACTGAGCGGCTTCACCTGGGAAATCGCTTCACTTGAAAGACCCCATCCACTCTCCTTTCTTGAAATGTTCTTGCAAGTTAGTGGCTTCTCATATGGTCAAGCTTCTCTACTTGCAGGTTGAAGTTTATACAGTGGCCAATGGTTTTTGGTGGCCCCAACATGCTGCCACTTGTTAGAGAAGATAAAAAACACTGGTCCGTTTTATTTTCTGCCCGTGGCCGGACGATGGTGATTAGTTGGAGAACGTCTGAACTGGCGTTGGAGATCCGGCACCTCTTTGCAGGATGGATACTTTGGCTTTCTCCCTGACTTTGGCTGGGGCTTCAGAAGCCCAATTCACAGCCGGGCTGGTGGGCCTGGGACTTTGTTCCCATCGTCTTCCAGGAACCGCTCTTTACTTCTGAGAATTATTGAGTGCTAAGATTGCCAGGTGAGGTGGTTTCTGTCAGAGCAGGCAGAGCGGATGAACTTGACCTGGTTAGCAGGAACATACTGATCTCCTCAAATACTTCTGACAAAGTATCCGGTGGTTTCATTTCGGTTAGGGTCAAAAAAACTTCACTCCCACAAGGTGAAAATGTCTCCTTTAAATTATCTTAAGGAGGCAACCACGAAGTTCAGTTCTTCAGCCTTATCAAAACAAGGGTCTTCCACCAGACTGCTGCTGGGCCTCCTGGCACTACCCTACCGATGGGACTATTCCTCTGTACAGGCAGTCATTTGTGAAACTCGGTTTCGCCCTTTCACAACACCCTCTCAGCACTTTCCAAGAGCCATTTAGCACTTAGTATTGTAAGCAATACATGGCCAGGGAGATGTGAGTAGAAGAGGGATATATTAGGGCCAATCTGATTGAGGGAATTTGCTTATTAAAGCAGATGATAATATTACAGACAGCAATCAGGTACTGTAGTAGACAGAAGAAAAACCTTTCCAGGACTAAGTATCTCCAGACTCTGGTTCTGACAACTTTTTAACCAAACAAAATCTGCAGGCACTAGAAGCTCAGTGGAATCTACATCTTTACCCATTATATAATTTGTTTGAACTTAGTTGCCAACTCTTGAAGAACTAGCTGATGGTTCAGATATTTCCCACTTTAAGTAGGCACTTACTATGTGTGAGAAAGCGCCCATGGAATATGTTAGAAGGGATACAATGCTTGGTGAACTGTTCCAGGACAAGCTGCTCCTGAGCAACTTCCTGATTCTTTCTTTCTTTCACATCGTCAGCTCATGTGTCCATGATTTGGACTTCAGACTGAAGTCTTCCGTGTCTGACACTCCACCTGCTGCACTTTGCTGCAGTCTCTGCAGTGCCTTCTGGCTGGAAAAGCTCTGCCCATGCCCTCCATGGGGCGTACAGCTCAGCCCTGACCTGCCTTTTATAATCCTTTATATTTCTGTGCTTTCGGTCCACAATTTTCTGCGTAGTTTCCTACCAAATGCAATACACAGACAGCGTGCTCAGCTTCACTGGCATGTTTTGAACCCCTTTTTCTAGAAGATCTTTCATAAGTTAGCATCCCTTTATGTATTTCCCGCTGAATAGCGCTCCTGTTTCTGCGGATGTTCCTTCCTCTGCATGACCTGGAGTCATCTTGGCAGCCCAAGGCAGGCTAAGGAGCCACTTCTTTGCAGAAACCGCAGGTCCTAGAGTGTGCTGAGCCAACATCAAAGATAAAACATTAAAGGTACTGACACAGCAATGGCACTGGTGATCAGCTCTTGCACGTGTGAAGAATCTCTAAGGATGTCCTTATGCACCTCCTTCTTCTATCTATCTGATTAAGGTGATCTGCTACCGTTTGCATCACTTTGCCAAATGTATATATATTTGCCAGTTCAGTCTGCTGTTATCAAGAATATTAATGCCTGTGAAAGTTTCCATGCTCTTATAATTTATCCGCTACCTGTTATAAGTCTGATCACTTTCTGAATATAGAGTTTTCCCTTTAGCCAAGTGCTGTGAACCCCTTATAAATCCCGCTTTTTGCAAGGACAGAGAGCTAACCTGGGTTAACTCTGCACTTATCTTTTGCTTCCTAGCTTTGTTTGCATTTTGTTTTAAATACTAGGTGGTTTTGCAAAAGGTAGGTGTTTGATGCTAATCAGAACTTGAGTCAAAAGGCTGCAGAAGTGGAAAGTATGAATTCCTTGCTCATCCCATCCCTCTGCACTGCAACCCCAGGCCCCTGCAGGGCACAGATGATGTGACACTAGCGGCGCACTGGCACATCGTGAGTAGGTGCATTTCTCATAGCACGGCCACCTTGCTGCCGGGGTGGTGGAGACAGACCAGAGCCAACTGCCAGCTAGCAACTCCCACCAGTATAGCCACGGCTACTGGGGGTTCAGTGCCTGGGTCTTTCCCCAGCCTCTCAGTGAGCTTGTAGTTGGCATGAAACGTTACACGGCTCACATCCCGGTTAGGAGCCAAGCTGTCGGTGAAAACCAGCTCTGCCACATGAACTGCTGTTATGTCCGGGTTATGAAGTCAGCTTTATTCAGCAGGAAACAGCCACCTTGGGGAGTTAATGGGGAGTTAATCCACACCCTCCGTTACTTCTTCCTTCAAGATCTTCCTCCGTATTTGCACCTTGGATCCGTCTTGGCATTTGGGGAAGGCCGGTGCTCATGTATCTGTGCAGTGATACAGAGATGTGTAGGATCCCCTACGCAAAAACCTCTTGCTATGAGAGGTAGCCTCTGTCGCACATCCCCCACGGGCAATTTCCCTCTTGCGCGGCTTAGTAAAACCTGTAAATATTGAACTGGAGGCGAAGAGTTGGTCTCTAATCCCGAGGAAGCGTTTGAGGGCTGCTCTCCCGTTCCACCGCTGGGAGATGCAGGGAAGGAGGTCGGGGGGCGGGAGCATCTCTGTGCCAGCTCGGGACGGGGTCTGGGCCCGGCTCTTCAGCTCCGAAGTTCTCAACCCGAACGCTCCGGGGCGCTGAAGGGGGAAAACCCGCTCTTCTCGGCCTCGCGCAGGCGGCGGCAGCTCCACGTGCCGCGGGCGAGCCCTTCCCCTCGGGAAAACAACGGGAACCGGCACCTTTCCTTTACCCCGGGAGCAACCGCGGCGGGCGCACGGGGCTCATGGCGGCGACGGCGGGCCCGCCCTCCTCCCTCCTCCTCCTCCTCCTCCTCCTCCTCCTCCGTGGCCGCGGCGGTGCCGCCCCCTGGCGGCCGCGCCGGGTGCGGGCGGCCTCGGGCGGCCGCTGCTGCCCGGGCCCGCCTGGCGCCACACGCACCCCCACGCATCCCCCACTCCAGTTTGTCATCCCGTCCCCGGCGCTGAGGTACCGCGCGCAAAGTGTGGGGAGGGAGAGCGGGGGCGGCCACGGCCACGGTCACGGCCACGGTCACGGCCACGGTCACGGCCGCGGCAGCGCCGCCCGCCCGCCGCCAGGGGGCAGCGCCGCCGCGGCAGCGCGTGCTGGGGGGGGGGGGGGGGGGGCGGTGCGTCGCCTCATGGCGGCCCCGGGGGGAGCTGAGGGAGCCGGCGGCGGGAACGGGGCGGGTGGGAGCCGGGGAGGTCCCCGCGGTGCCCTCAGGGCCAGGACGAGCCGCCTCTCGGGCGAGGGCCGGGCCGCGGTCCGCCCGGCGGGCCCCGCTCACGCTCTGGAATATTTCCACCCGCCGTAACGTCAGTATTTGGCCGGGGGGGCACACCTGGGTTTGCCCGCTCCCCGGTGCGCACCCCTGGGGCGGGGAGGGCAGGTGCCGGCCGCGGGGGTGGGTGAGGGCGGCAAGCCGAGATGGATCCTGCCGCCCCCGGCCCCTACGCCCAGCCCTGGCCCCGTTTCCTCCCCGCTGGTCGCCAGTGCAAGGAGAGTAACACCATCTGTCTTCAGCTTTCCCTTTTCCAAAACCTACACGCTTCACAAATTCCCAGCGTTCACCCTATAAGTAGCACGCCGTACAGCGTAATTTGCCCTTCTTTTTTTTTTTTTTTTCTTCCCCCCCCCCCCCACTGCCCCATTGCTGTTTTGTCCACTACAAAGAGCAACGAAGAATGAGCAGAGTTGTCCAAGAGTGAAGATGAGATCGCTTCAAAACGGCGGAGGGAGGGATCAGAAATATAACTGCTCTGTTCTCTTACCATTTTTTCACGTAAAAAGGTTAATAGCTGTAGGCTATGCCAGGCTCTGGCCCACACACTCCACCAGCACAGGAGGTGGCAGGTCTCGGGACTAGAGCAGACATCAGGAGGTTCCGGCACAGCAAGTTCTGTGTTCCTTTGATTAAGAGATCAGGTGCAAAGGGCCAACCAGCCAGTCAATTTTGGGGAAAAAGTCCAGAGACAGAAAGGAATTGAAGCAATCCGTTCCTTTTGAAGATAAAGGTGAGGCGGCACAAATGTCATCCAAATTGCTGAGCGTCTCTATTGCCTGCATTAACGTTCACAGGTCAAATGCAGTGTGAAGGCGATGTGAAAATGTAACTGCCATGGCATCTGGGCTGTGTCAGAAAGACTTGCTGCCTGTTCTCTGCTTTCTTGGAGCTAAAAGAAAATTCAGTAAGTTGCTGAGTCGAATGCTTCATCCTCCTCCCTCACAAGCTTCTGGAGGTGACAGATGTTTCCTCAGGGCCTGTTATTTTAGACACCTCCATGATTTATATATCTCTGCAAGCCTGGTGGGTGGAATTGGATGTCACAGACGAGCTGAAAATAACTTGTATACTCAGACTCTGATAGCTACTGGCCCATGTAGAAAAACTCCGAGATCAAACTGAATCACGTTATATGTGCCTGGCAGATGCACTGGGATGTACAGATGGAGCAATGGTGGGTTAAAGTGAAGTTGAAATGTTCTGTGGAAAGCGCTCGCATGGACTCTGCAGTAACACTGCACAGCAGAACCAGCGTGGCTTAGCCCTCACGATTGTTTTGTTGAGAGTTGCGGCAGCATACAGAGGGAAAAAAAAAATATATATTTGGAACAATATGTAATTCCCTGTGTGATCATGACGTAGAACTGGACAGAATGCCTTTGGCTTCTGTGTGAGAGGTTCGGGAAGATACCTGGACTTGCAGAGCTGTGCTTGGGTATGCCTGAGGCAAGGCCAAGGGGCTTCAAACCTGCTTCAGGGTCCTTCTCACTCGAAGCAATACTTGGTGGGAAAATGTGGGACCTTGGAGTCTCAAGCTGTTAATGTCCTGTCAGGTATTTTGGGATAGTCTGGTGGAAGAGGCAAACTAATAAACACACTACATCCACACGTGCCCAGCACTCCAAAAATCAAAATCAGGGGACAGTGGCACGTAGGCAGGTGCCAGGCTGGAAGCACAGTGCCAGGGCTAACATGGAAGGGAATATTCTCAGGTGAACTCGGAAGCCGAGGCTCTCTCCATGTGTACAGCCCAGGGAGTTTCACTCAGCCGTTTATTTAAGTTTTCCCGAAGTGCAGCGTGGCTTCCTTTGTGCACAGCTCAGAACCGGCGTTCTCTGGGAGACGATAATATTTTCCGAGGCCGGGCCGTTCGTCCATGCCAGCCTCGCGAGGATGTGGCGAAGCTGAGCAGAACGGGCCCGGGCACACTCGGCCGCACCCTGCAGCCAGCGGTAGGACGTTCAGGGCCTGCCAAGGTAAACTGCGTGAGCGGTACGCCTCGATTTACAGCCAGATCTCTAGAGCAAAAGCGGTGAGTGAAGAGTGGCAGAGCTTTTAACTCCTTGTAAGGAGCTGAAGACAGAACTCGCAGCAGAGGACCCAAACTCCTGGAGGATATTCCCACCTCCAGGGAGCATGTGTCTCACGGGGTTTCCTGCCAGAGCTTCTTCCGTAGCACAGCCTTGGCACACGTCATCTCTGCATTTAAAGCCTTTTTTGTTTTATTTTCCAAAAAAATCACCTTCAGGTGTTTGTTGCCACTTACCGGAGTGCTTCCCAAACACTGGGTTTAACCTCACTGCTGTCTCTAGTCCCCTTTGAGCACCAAGATGTGATGACTCAGGTCTCCTGAGGCCTAACACAGTGCTTTCATCCAGGAATCATTCAGCCTGTATCTTTAATTTGTCAGAAATTACTTGAATTCAGCGTGTGCTCCTTTCCCTTTCTTCAAGGCTGCAAAACTTCCACTCTTTCCTTGCATCTTCCAACCTCCCTCTCCCCATTGTTTGCTGATCCTTTTCCTTCCTTTGAGTCTCTCTACCACAGAGTGTTGCAAAAAGTGATACTTTTGGATGTATGGTGGGAGGGACAGGTGACATTAATCCTGTTCCCGGAGGTCCCTTTAGAAAAAGAATTCTTTAAACACCCACAAAGATTTAAGCCAAAAGGTTTTCATTCTTAAGGTGATGAATCGGTAACTTGTCCAGCATCAAGATATTTTTTGCTGATAATGGTGCTGTGCCCTGAGGGAATTAATTCGCCTATCTTACGTTACTTGATTTTTCTGCTTGCAGGTACCTCAGTCCAGCGATATCCCCTGTTGCTACAGCCTGGCCCGAGACTCACAGCCACACTCTTGCAGGAGGAAAACGCTGCATCTTCAGAAAACTTGGGTGAGATTTTAAGTGGCACAGCAAGAGTAGAACCCAAGGCCTTCTGCTGGTTCACTCTTGCTCGGCACATTTTGGGCTTGTCTGTCCAAAACTTGGCATGACGTCAGTGGGATAAGTGGTATAAAATTGCCGTTCTGTCCGGGACGATGTTGGATCCTTTTGCTCTCGCAATTTCCTGATATGTGTGGCCGTGCAGGAGTGTGGCAGCAACTCCTCTAATCTTCAGCCTATTATTGTAGTGGAAAAAATAACGTAGAAATATCAGGTAATTGGTTTGTTGTTTTTTTTTTTAAATTGTGGGGTTTTGTAAAAAAAAAGGCCTCCCAATTCTCCTATCACTAGTTGTAGTCCAGGAAACTTTGTGTTTATTAAGCACTGTGTAAATTTGCAGCTCTATAAATGTAAAATCAATAGCAATGATAACAGCAGCAAAGTGCTTAGTCCAGCTCTGGTAATAACCCAAGACTGCTAACTTCTTGATAAGGTCACTTGCTTTACATGGGCACCACCTCTCCGTGTGAAAACACAGCGAGCAGAACAGAAGATATTTGTGTTCCCTGACAAGAAAGGAAACACTGAAAACATGTAATTTCCAGCAGGTGACAATGGCAGGCAGTGACCTGAAGGATTCTTAAAATCTATAGTGGGGGCCTTAGCCCCTCCACTGAGCGCTGCAAACACACTTCCTCTTCTAGGAAGTTAAAATCTTATCAAACATCTCATTGTTAATGGTATCCTTTTTTTATCTCTTCTCATGAGCACACAAGAAAGGGGAATCTCCAGTAACGTGACAACATGAGCAAAATTGCATTTCTGGAGGATGAACACAGCGACAAGATGATGGCTTGTGTGGCTGCCTGCTCTGAATCATGGCCTCCATCAGTGATGCCACCACTCAGCTGCTTTATTAGGGCACAGCCTGGGCAGTTCCTGCGTGTAGGGACCACGCTTCCACCTCTCCCTGGGTGTCCTGCAGCTCCAATGGCAGCTCTGCCTGCTCGCTGTGCCCCATTCCTGTCCAAACAGGCAAGTGAAAGGGCTTTGGGCTTTCTATAGCTGGGGCTTTACCACCACTGGCAATAACTAAATCTCTGCCATTTAAAAATATGTCATATACTACTAATGGCTGATGGCTCCCTCTGCCTTCCACTGTGGTGATTCCCTTAAGGGGAAGCTGTGGTTGGCTCCATGCAGTGTGCTCCTCTTCTACCAGGTCCCCTTTAAAACCGGTATAGGGTTCCCAAGTGACTTACTGCCCCCCAACTGGCCTCTGTCATGACCTCCCCGAGGAGTTCACTGATAGACCAGATACTCCAGACATAATCATAGACTGGTTTGGGTTGGAAGGGACATTAAAGATCATCCAGTCCCACCCCCCCTGCCCCGGGCAGGGCCCCCTTCCCCCAGCCGAGGGGGCTCCCAGCCCCGTCCAACCTGGCCTTGAACCCTTCCAGGGAGGGGGCAGCCACAGCTGCTCTGGGCACCCTGGGCCAGTGCCTCACCCCCCACACAGGGAAGAATTTCTGCCTTACATCTCATCTAAATCTCCCCTCTGTCAGTTTAAAACTGTTACCCCTCATCCTTTCCCCACCCCCCTGATCCAGAGTCCCTCCCCACCTCTCCTGTCCCCCCTTTAAGCCCTGGGAGGCCGCTCGAAGGGCTCCCCGGAGCCTTCTCTTCTCCAGGCTGAACCCCCCCAACTCTCTCAGCCCGGCCTCCCAGGGGAGCTGCTCCAGCCCCCCCAGCATCTCCGTGGCCTCCTCTGGCCCCGCTCGAGCAGCTCCGTGTCCTTCTGCTGTTGGGGGTCCCCGAGCTGGCCCCAGCACTGCAGGGGGGTCTCCCCAGAGCGGAGCAGAGGGGGAGAATCCCCTCCCTGGCCCTGCTGCCCCCCCTGCTCTGGCTGCAGCCCAGGGCATGGCTGGCTTTCCCCTCTTTCCTCCCTTCCCTCCTCCCTGACCACCTCTGTCAGTGAGCCTGGCTTCGTCTCACTCTGTGGTAGGTCCACAGTCACCTTGGGGCTTTTTCTTTGCCACGCTGCTGCAGTAGATCAAGTCCATCTGCGCATCAGTTCCCTTCTGTTTTCTTCTTCCCTGACCTCTGCCTGCTACCCAAACCCCTAGGTCCGTTGACCTCCAGCTCAGGAAGAATCCTCCTTAAGTGCTTATCCCAAAGGCAGCACTCCCACTGTTAAATAATAATCATACAGTAATAATCACCAGAGGGCTGGCAGGGACTTCAGGAAGGCTCTGAAGCCATCCCCCCCTCTCCGAGGTGGAGTCACCCAGGAGCAGTGCCTGATGCGTGCGTGAAATGCTTCTAGCAATCGGGATGCCGCAGCCTCCCCAGCAGCCCCCTGCGGCCCAGGAGACCTTCCTGGGAAGAAAGGACTTTCTTGAGCGCAACCCAAACCTTTCCTCCTGCAAATCAGGCCAATTATTACTTGTCCTTCTTCTGGTGGATCCGGAGAAGAACCAGTCACAGTCTGCCTTACAGCAACCTTTTATATAATAGCAAGACAGCTTTTAGAGTAGCTGAGAAAGAGGCGTTTGCTCACTTGCAAAGTCAGGAAATTCCCTGCCAATGGACATTCTTTGTCAGGGATCCTTTGCCAGCATAGGCTGAGCACTAAGCCCCACAATCTGCATTTTCCTTTTGAATGACTCCCACAAAATAAACCAAATATCACATCCAAGGAGATTTATTACATCCCTTCCAAGGGCGAAGCATTCCTCAGCTACATTCCACTTCTGTCTTTTGTGCTTAGGAAAGGGGAAAAAAATCTCTGTGATGCCTCTGGATCCCACCCCTTGAGGGCTTCTGTCGTTAATAAAGCCAGGCAGCTGGAGCCAGATTTGTCAGACTAGTCTTGAATGGCTGGCTCGCTCCTGCTGCAAGAGCAGCACCATCAGAGCAGCCCTAGGATTCCAGCCTCTGCTAGAAGATTAATAACTCATGGCACCACGTTTCCTCAGTCAAAACACCTTTTGTTGTTCCCAGTGACACCCTATCCCCATGGCAGCAGCTGCCAGAGTGGATCTTCTCACTTCCTAGCTGCTCTGGCTTCTCCTGCCCCTGCATGATGCAAGAGTTTGCAATGCTTTTCGGGAGCTCAGATGTGCTCTCGGGGACTCTCTGCTTGAAGCGATTGCTCTCTCCAGGCTTTGCAGCGAAGCTTTTATCCAGATGTGTAAAGGAGGATGTGTACAGAGGGAGGGCAAGGGGATGAAACCTCTGTTGTGTTATCTGAGCTTAATTAAGCTTCTCCCTAGGCAGTCGCTAATTGATTGACCCCAGGGCTGCAAAAGGGAGCAAATTTACCAGAGCTCATTAAAAGAGCAGAGTTTGGAATTTGAATTTTTCTTTATTTCAGAGATGAATACCTTTGACTGATGTCTTGCTGACAGATACCAGTGAAACAAACACTATTCAGCAAATGTTAGTAGGTGGATGTGGCTTTTTAAATCCAAGTGAGAGAAGTGGTGAGTCCTCAGATGCCTATTCATCATCATCGTGTCCCTTGCCAGCATTTATAGGTATCACTTAACTGGAGCTCTGATATTACTTTCTGTCCCAGCCTGGGCTGTGCTAACTAGCCTGTAGTCTCTTCCAGTGAGTATCAAAACCATCTCAGTTTCACAGGCTTCAAAAGCGTTTCACAAAATCGACCCAAAAAACCCCTCACCAAACCGAAAATAAGTTCACCCACAGTAAAATGCAGCCACTGCGGGCGTGGGCGAGGCCAGCCCTGTGACACCCCAACACAACTGTGGAGAAAGTGGAGAAGGGGAAAAGATGCTGTGTCCAGGGTGGGCTGCAGGAAGAGCGAAGGGAAGAGGCCCGTCCCCTCCCAAATGTCTGGAACATTATTGACTTTACCAAAAACGCTGAGCTCGTTTCCAGTGTGATGGTGTTCAGATCTGTCTTATGCAATTGAACTCCCGCCCAGAGCAGGGCTTCAGGCTCACTCACCTGAGTGACAGATGCCTTCTTCTCAAATACCTGCAGCTCAGTCTGCTCTGCAAGTACTGCTCTTGGCTTGGTGGTGGTGTGGTTTGACACGACGGAAGCTCACCCTGTCAGGACTGAGACATAGCCCGTGTGTGGAAAAGGCTACAGGAAGATAAGGTATGCAGAACAGTGGGGAAGCGATAGGCATGCCTGCAGATGAAGGAGACCATTATGAGCACGAGGTGGCTGGAAGAGCAGCCACTGGCCTGGTGACAGAAGGCTGTTAAAAGGCCTGCTTTCACAACCAGCCCAGCCAAAGCTCCTTGTATCACTTGGAGCCAATTCACTGTCACTCCAATCAGCCTTAAAACCATTTCAGCAGGGCTTAAGAGCTATTTAGAGCATGGAGGGAAAGCCCTAGTGTGTAGCAAACTGAAGAAGTTGTGCATGCACCCTGGGTGTGAGATGTTGCTGCAGGTTTGAAATCTCTCCCGTCAGCCTGTGAGTTCCATTTTTTTCCTCACTAGGACAGCCTGGTGCCCTATTCCCTCCTACTCTCCATCCTCAAAGAAGGTGCTCGTCTCTCCTAAAGAGGTTTCTGTGCATTCTGTGAAGTTTTGCAGGGATTTGAAGGAACTGTCAGCTGAGCAGCAACATGGACAGGTGACACCTACCCTCCATGGGTTTCACTGCCAACACGTCTCTATCGTTGCGGCTGCCTATCCCTGCCCAGGCCTGTTTGCCTTTAGGCCCTTCAGAGCACTTCCAAATTGCTTTTCTGTCTCTTCTGTTTAGAAAATGTTTAACATCAGTGAGAGTTTACAGGAAAGTCCCAATTTTCAGACCATGTTTGAAGGACACTGGTTTGTTGGGTCTCTAGGTTTAGGTTGTGGCTGCAAGAGCAAGTCCTTATGTGTAGCTGTGAGGAAGAGGGGCTGACAGTGTCTCTGTGGCAAAATGACATTTGTCAGCAAGGAGAACTGACCCTTCAGAAGAAGATGCTGCTGAGGGAAGAGAGGAAGCCCAAGTGTCTCCTCTCTGGAGCACATGGACTTCCCTGTCCTGAGGACATCTGCGACCCTCCCAACCCTCCCCCTCTACTGCTTGCTCTGTCTGCTTTTTCTCTTTCTTCTTTTCCTCCCTCCTCAACCACACCCACTATTTAACCATTTAGATATAAAAATAAAAAATAAGAAAACCACCCAACCCACTAGACAGAGGGTTTGCTAAAGAAGGGTAATTTTAAAAGCAAGTCTTTGAGGTCAGCGTGTAATTGTAACATTGGGACTATGTGATCCAAGACAAAAATAATCCGCTGGGTATCTGGTCAAGGAGGAGAGGATGGCAGCCTGCAGTGAGGGAAAAGTGACTTACACGGGGTTGATCAGACAGCAAAAGACCAGGTAAAAGTACTTGTGGGCACCAGGACTAATATTTGTGTAGGATACTGCAAGATTTTCTGTCTGTGATGGGATCATAAGAGCTGCTGTTCGGGGTCGCAGCCTCCCTCGGTCGGTGGCCCTGCCTCTGCCAGGGACTGGCACTGGGTGCTTCCCAGCAATTTAATAGTCTTCCGCAGAAATACAGATATGAGGTGAAGTATATTTATATATTAACCTGCTCATGAGGAACATTTCTGGTTTGGTCTGGAGTTTAGGGTGCTGAGATTTTTAAACCGTTCTTCATTTTCGATCTCCCGCTTCGGGTACTTTATGAAAACCTTTCTTCAAAGGGTTCAGCGGGCTGCAAGCCATGCCCTTCCCTTATGTGGTATAACAAAGGATGTTTTCACCCCTATAAATGTCAGATCCTTTCCTCGCAGTTCCTTCTCAGTTATAACTGACAGCAGTAAGTTATGTGGGCCAATCATATAATGCATTTTACCAGTATTTAATCTAGTGCATTTTAAATGAAGAAGTGAGCACTGTAAGTGTCTGTCTGCTGTCTGTTATCCCCGAGAGTACAATACAGGAGGTAGGAGGACCACACCACAGTGCTGGTTTTATCATTCTGGTGAGGGACAGTGGCAGCCCCCAGCACTTGGAAATAATGATGCAAATTCTTGTACTGGGGCAAAGCACCAACTGTCCACAGAGGACCATGATTTTCCTGGCTCCAGAGGTGGCACGGATAGGACACCAAGCAGCCTTTCATCTCCATCATTCCTCAGACTGAGTTGTTTTCACATTTGCTCTCAGCTGAAGGCACCATAAAAATCAGTTTTACTGTGAAAGAAGTTAAGCGTGAGAGGAGGGAGCATGCCTGTACCTTGATGCCCATGGCTGGGGGTATAGAACTGTACCTGAATTGTTGCCACTTGTGTTTCCATTCCAAGATGCCCAGCCATCAGCTCTCCAAGCTTTCACCGCAGTTCAGTATGTCCCCTCCTCAAACCACTGTCTGTGCATGAAAGGGATTTATTTTTAATCAGAGGCCAGCGCTGGTTGCAGGGGTCTTTACTTTGTGACCTTCAATTCTGTTTCGAGGAGGAGACAGTGGGTTTCGGTACCTTCTTGCTGTGGCTGTCTCTGGGTCAGCCCTTCCCAGAACAGATGCCGCTGATTCAGGAGGGCTTGCTGCCTCCCCTTTCTTTAAGTGCTGGTTACACAGCTCCACCAGGACCCATTGCAGTCGTAAACCATGCTCAAGGGATGAGCAATTTAGGGTTTGGAGTCATTGTGGACCAGCCCTGGAGACCTCATGCAATTGTTTTTCATCTCTCTTACACCCACAGTTTTGCTAGATTAGAGTTACTGCAGAACCCATAGAACTTCTGAGTTGAATTTGAGTTGGGAAAGACACACAAAAGAAAGGAATTTGTGTTGTAAATTAGATTTCTCAGATTTCAGTGATTTGTCATGGAAATGTGGCTCAATCTATGCAGTCATAAAAACATTTCACATGTTCAAACTCTTCTCATGCTATTAACTTCCCCGATGTGGCAGGGGACAGTGACTGTAGGAGGTTAAGGTTAGTTTCAAATCAGCTGTGGTAGAAAAATGACTCAGCACCCCAGCTGGGGAAGCACTAACCTACGAGATGAGGATTAACCTAGAAATCATTCCCCGATCCTAGTGAGCTATGTGAGAAGACTGGATTCTTAGCTCAAGCTGTTTTCTGACCCTTGCAAAGCATCCAACAGGGTATACGCTGCCTCTTGGTGCAGCTCAGGTCAGCGGGAGAGCACCCAGGTACCTCCCCACATGTGTTGTGCTCACCCACGATCCAAAATGAAACCCGTAATTCAGAGCTCACTCAGTGGGGGTGGTCTAAAAATAATAGGATTGAAACCAGCAAGTGATGGTCTCTTAGGTTTGCCCGCCTGTGCCATAGCCAGGGGAGCGCATTTTCAGCCGGTTCTCTGCAACCATCAGAATTCACCTACGAAAAAGGCAGGGGAGTTGAGAAGCTTCCATGTTCCCAGGACTCCAGGTGCTCAGGCTTTAAGAAAACCATTAAATGTCCCGAGATGTCTGGAGAAAGAAAGATCTGGCAACGTGTTAGTCCTGTTTGCCACACAAACCAGAACCTCTCCTTTCAAAGAGATGCACAGGCGCAGTGCCGCGGGCGGTGAGTTCTGGAGCACTTCAGAGAGCTTTTTTCCTTAGCGCTGCTACCTTTGGGCATGTTTCATGCTTCACGTTTTGGGCTGCTGCCATATTCAAGCTCTCGATGAATCAAGAGCTGTACAGGACACGGCAGCACCAGAGGGACCATGTGCAGCATGCCAAGGAGACGGGTACTCAGGCTGGGACTGAGGAACCAGCGACTCTACTGCCTTGCTTTGCCTTGCCGAAGCTATCTAGCCCCTAGTCAGCTGGAGAAACCACATCTCTCTGCATCCCTGTTTCCTTGCCGGGCGTCTGTCTAGCAAACGCGAGCGGTTTGCTCAGTGGGGCTTCTGGGAGGCAGCTGATATTTTTAATCTCTTTATTTCGGAGCTCGTTCAGCGCATGAAGAGGGTTGCGTTACATGCTTGGCTGCAGCTGTCTGAGACTTGTTGACTCAGGAAGCCCCTCTTTTCCTTTTCACAGGTTGAAAAAAGCCACACTAGGACTTTCGAGCCTGGAAACACCGGTCAAGCAGGGAACTCTGCAAACCCCTCTTACCCAGAGCGGTCCTTGCTCGGCAGGAGGGCGGCTGGCTGGCTCAGGTGAGTTCTCCTGCGGCCAGGAGAGCAGCCGGGCCAGCGCTGGGCTGCCCCCAAGAGCTGCTGCATGCCCAAGCAGCACGGGCAGTGCCAGCTTCACCCTGCCTGCCCGCGGCCAGCCCCGGCCCCCTGCGCCATTCGGGCAGGGGAGCTCGCTGCCGTCTGCGCGCGCCTGACAGCATCGGTTGCCATGGCAATGCGTATTTGAGCCGGAGCGGAGCTGCATCTTCCCTGAAGTTGTGAATTGAGCTTAGCTTTATTTATTTAAAACCAACCATAACGAGTGATAGAAAGAGGAGAGACACGTTACAAATCCCCTTGCGCAGGCCGTAGCCAAATGAGTCAGAGGCGCTGCAGGCTTTAATCAGCCCACCTGACGTCAAACCTCTCCATCAGAGGAAAGTGCCGCCTGGAAATGTCAACATGCCCAAATGGAAAGGCCAGAAGGTAAATCTTTTCCTGTGCTCACTCACCGGGTAGGAAAGAACAATTAAAATTCAGCCAGTTCCCTAGACACATCTTAATAGCAATCTGATTGAATGCCTTTCTCCTCCCAGTCCTCTCCCATCCTTGCCGCTAGCTGCCTGGGGACAGGGCCTATTGGTTTGAAGGATCTTTCTACTGCAGCATCAAACCCCAGATCCTTCAAGAACAAGGTGTTCCCACTGGCAGCAAAAATGGGCTCTGCAGGAAAACTCTGTCGCCGAAATGGGCTCTCCCACAAACACTGAGCTAAGCGTGCTGTGACAGCAGTTCCCAGTTTCACACGTGTGGATGCTCGGGGGTAAGAAGAGCAGCTTAGCTTGGACCTGGGATGTTACTTGCCGCCAGAAAGTTGGGGTGAGGAAGAAAGCGGCGGTAATCAGCCCGTGTTTGCCAGAGGTGTCAGCCACCCGTGGGCAGGTCAGCACCAACCCCGAGAGATGCACCACAGCAATGGGAAATGGTTGGGGGGATGTAACAGAGGCGCATCCTACTGGGAAGAGAAACCTTCCTGCATCCTTTCTAACAGGGCTCAAACTCTGGGCCCCCAAGATAAAGACAAGGTGAGAAGGAGCCCCCAGCTTTGGATAGAAGAAGCCTGTTCTTGAGTGTTTATTGTAAGTTAGGCGTGCAGCGGGGAGAGGAGTCAGACAGGGACACCTACGGTTTTATCTGCCCCTTTGAGGAACATCAAGCTGGGAAGCCTTGGGAAACCATCCCTTCCTGGCCCGCTGGTGTTCGCCAGGGGTGACAAAGGGACACACGCAGACATCAGGGGACACGAGCACGCGGAGAAGGAGGAAGGAAGGAAGATTGTAAAATGCAAACCGCACCACTTAAAACCAGGGCGGCTTTCCATTTCCTCCAGAGTGCTCCCCACACCCAGCGCTGTACAGCAGCCAACCCGGTGGGCTTCTGATCTTCCCAAATCACTTAACACTTCTCCCCCTTTTATTTTTGTCCTAAATGTAAGCATTTTGCTTTGGTGGCTGATCCTGGCAATGCGTCTCAGACATTACACTGGGGTTGCTTTTGCTCTGGGAGATAAGTCTGTAATGAAGGTTTCCTCCACCGTGTCTCTCTTTCCCCAGTAGTGGAAGTCTGTAATTACCACTGAGGGGCGAGGCAGACAGCGCTGAAACAATGTCATTTGGACAGGGGTGAGACATGCCTGAATTGCTGGGTTGTGCTTTTCTCCTGGCAGGATTGCTTGGGGATCCGGACCTTGCTTTTAACCCTTGTCAGGGCGGGGAATGCTGTTCCCCCCGCGTCCCCGACCCGCCTGTGTGCTCTGGATCTGCTTGGCTCCCATCGGGGCAGATCCCGTTGGATGTAGCCGAGATGTGAGTGTCCGTCTTTTCCGCCATGCCCGAGGGGGTCAAGTGGCACAAATCAGCAGGGATTACCCTCTCCCTAGTCGTGATGCAGGTAACTGGGGGGTCTGGGGTTGGCTCCGTACAGCACATACCGTGTGCCAAAGCAGAGCAGCGGCTGTCTCCTTGCCCTGACTTGTCTAGTCCTGCTCCAGCGGCTCTTCGGCTCCCTTCTGCACCAAAGCCTTCTGCTTCCCACTCCCTGATGCAAGGTGTCTTCTTGGGGTAAAATTCAGCCAAATGGGGTGCGCAGCTATACCCCTCATCCCTCCTAGGAGAAGGTTTGAGATACAGGAAACAAGAGAAATGAGACAATGCAGCCCCCTCAGAATGACTCTTTAGGCAGTCTGTAGCCCCGTGAAGGCTGCCCGGGTCTTTTCTGCAAGCTGACCTTGCAACCATGCAGGCTAGAAGCCTAGCAGAGTAGAGTAAATACAAATTAGTGCATGGGAAGCTGAGGCAGCCAGCCTCTGCAGTCCTGCAGCTTCCCGTTCACCTGAGCTTCCTGGGAAGTTATTTATGGCGTCTTCAAATGCTAACAAACTGCTGGAAGGAGATGCCCTCATACTGAAATTACTGTTAATTCAGTTAGACCCCCTGAAACTTGTCTGGTTCTCCAGGGAGATTGCCAGCAAGAAAAAAAAAAAAAAAAAAAAAAAAAAAAAAAAAAAAAAGGAGGCAAAATCTCTGCTCTTTTTGAGGTGTAGAGCAAGGAGGGCAGAGTGTGTGTGACAAGGCAAAGAACTGTTCTTAGTCTGCCATGAAGAAGTGAAGGAGGTTCAAAGAGATTTTTTCCCCCTTTACCAGTTACTTTCAAAGTGGTGAGTTTTCATTTCTCATCTTTCATTATAATACCCATTTACTGTTTTGGGACTTTGCTTTCTGACATACCTAATCCTGCTGCGGGCAGCTCAGCCACTTTCCCAGGAGGCTGAAGAGGTTCCACGGAGGGATGTTCCTAAGGTGTGGTGTCCCATGTGCAAGGCTTTCTTTTCCCTAGGTCTTGAATTCCCCGCTTCCCTGTCTGTCACTCACTCCCTGTTTGCAAGGCCAATTTAGATCTACCCGAGGGCCCGAAGTTCACCCCAGAAAGAATAATAATTGCAGCGCTGAGCTCTGCAGCTTCCCTTTCATTCCCCACATAGCATTAGGGTGCTCACTGAAACCACAGCATTCATGGATCCTTGCCATATGCAAACATGCAATTAATATGCTCTTCACTTTCCCCTCTACTTCCCAGGCAAGAGGGGCTAAAGAAGCACAAGTCGTGGTGTGCATTCCCTTAGCACACCCCCCCCCACACCACACCACCCCCCCCGTGTGTCTGCACCTCGCTCGAGTGCTCCAGCATGGCTCGCACCTATCTGGACTTGGTGGTGACCGATGAAACGTGTCTGCTTGCAGGCAGACATTTAATTTGATGCAGCACCAGTCCCGTGTAGCTGCACGCGAGGCAACACGCAGAACACAACCCATTTCCTCCTTCAGCTGTGGCAGCAGATCTGTGAACGCTCTGGTTTCACAGGTGTGCGTGTGTGTGTGTCCCCTTCTCTGGTTTCAGCAGGGAGCTGAGTTAGGTGTCATCTCCTTGCTGGCTCCCCTCCCTGCCCCACTGCTGCTCACTGGTGGTGGGAGCTGGTGTGCTGGGTGCCAGTCTGGGAAAGGAGGAACTGGAGAGCAGCTGAAGCTGGATGGAGGGAGAAATGTGTGTGTGTGTGTTTAAACCAGCCACTGGAAGGAAATCCAAAGGCAGCCAGATTTCCTGGATGAAGCGGGGCTGTGGAGCAGAGGGCAGAGAAAGGCTCCAGCATCTGCAAGTCCTTCCTCGAAAGTCACCTATTCACTAGAGGACATTTTGTTGGATTCCTCCCCTCCTATCCTGGCTTTCTGATGGGTTTTGAATTGTTCCCACAAAACCTAAATGAAGAAATTGCAGCCTGGGTGTTGGATAGGTAACTAGTTGTGCCATTGCACGCGGCCTGACTCCTCAGGGACTGTCTGGAGACCGCAGTGCCAATTCTTTGAACTTGGTTGAAAGTCCCGTTTCCATCCTCACCTTGTTCTCACTTCAGGAGCAGAGGGGACCTAGTGCGCAGCAGTTGCTCCCTCTGTCTGTGTTGCACAAAACAGTGAGCAAAACCACCCCCGAGCAATATACTGAGAGGTAATCACATCCAGAGAAAAGCTGGAGAGAAATAAAGGCAGGATCGCTACAAAGAGCTACTGGAGGGCCAAAGTATGGAGCTTGCATGGCTCCAGAAAGCCTTCGTGGCTAGGAAGATGGCTTGTGGCAGAAACCAGCTATTACATCCATATGAACACCAAAGCTGGAAAAACAAACAGGACAAATGGTATCTTCTGCCAGACCTGAAGCAAAAGCCTTGCTGCGGTGGAAGTCCTGAAGAGGCAGCCCGATCCCCAAAACACGCAGCTCTAACAGCCTCTGAGCCGTTCCCATACCAGCTCTCCAGGCTGCGAACGAGGGCAAACCCCCGGCAGACAACCCCTCCTATAACAACAGAGCCTGCGTGCAGCAAACCAAAAATCACCAACATAGGCAGTTCACCCCACATTCCTCAAGAAACACTCATCCTCGAGGAGTTTGTGAAACCTCCTGGCTCGGTCTGGGGCAGAGGAGCGGGGGTTGGGGAACCAAAAGCTTCAGCTTTGCAGGCTGCAAAACAGCCGGGATTGCTGTGGTCAAGCCCAGGGCCCCGCTCCCCTTGGCTCGCACGCCTTGCTCTCAGGGGCGCAGGGTGAAGGCAAACCAAATGCGAAGGGGTATGAGGAGAGCCTTGCAGGGCTCTCCCCCGCTGGTATGAAAGCAGGCAGCGGCAGCAAGACGAGGCAGGATGGAGCAGAGGGGAGCGGGATCCCTTCCTTACGAGAACCGGGTGGATGATTCGCTTCCCAACGCTGATAAAATGCGCTTGGTGCATACATGTGCGTCTGCAGTTATCGAGTGTTGTGCGGCCGGGAGGGCTTATCTGCTGTCAGTTTGAGACCTCTCCAATCGAAGCGTGCTTGGTTGCTGTTTCAGCCTCCCGCTGTGATCAGATTGCAAGCACATCTAAATAGAAAATCAGTGAAAATAGGGCTGAAAAAGAATTTGAGCGATCACGTGCTTCAGCCCCAAGATCGCCTCCCGATCTGCAACACCTATGTCCCAAGAGATGGCTGCAGAACTTGCCTTTGAAGATGTTCCGGTGAGGGCGACGCTGCCGCTCCCCAGGCACTCGCCTGTCACTGCTCGTCCCCTCCGGTGTGGCAATGCAGACCAATCCTCGCCTTCCTATTTCCTGCAGCAATTCGAGCGCCTGAAGACTGTTGGCGCGACAGTCATCACTTTAGGCCGGAGAAGCCCAGTTCCCTCAGTCCTTTTTGAGGGTTCACGTTTTCTCCAGTCGTTCCCACTGCCCTGGCACCCAGCCCAGTTCGTCCGCACTTTGCTCCAGGGGTGGCACCTCAGGTAGGCGTGGTGTTTCGGCTAACACCCTATTCTGCACTGGTCCTCTGCAGAGCGGAAGGGGAACTTCCCACCGCAAAGCTTTTGTAGGAGGATTCCTACCTCTATATCCCGGCGTGGCATTTGCCTTTTCCACAGCCGTGTGATGCTGTTAACGCCGTTCCAGTCTCGCAAGAGCTGTAGTCACCAGGCCCCTGCTCAGCCTGTCCTTTCCCTGCTCGCTGCGGGCACCCCCCTGCCAGCTGCAGCAGCATGCCCGAGTTTTACCGAATCGCAGTCGCCTCCCCTCACCCCATCATCGCTTTCCCCGTCCCCAGGTCTCTTCTGGAGCACAAAACAGCTCGCCTGCGAAAATACCTCTCCTTTTTGGCTCCAGAGGGTCAGCGGCGACGCTCTCTGAGCACCAAAGTAACGTTTGTGTTGCCTTTAGTGGCCTGCATGCGGGGGAAGTGTCCGTCCCAGTGCTAGGGATGGGGGTCCCTGTCAGAGCTCTCCAAGACAGGACAGAGCAGCGCAACACCAGAAAGGCAGGTTTGGTATAATCTTTCCTTGCCTGAAGAGGTGCAGCAGCGATAGGCAAGGGAGCTGCAGCCGGGCAGTTCTGCTCAGCACTAAAAATATGAAATAGGAGCAGGGTCTCAGGGCAGGCGGTTTCATATTTTTCTGAGATATTTTAATCTTCCGAATGGACTTTCACGATCCCTATCTGAACGTGCCGAAGCGTTTTTCCTTCGGAGTGCAGACAAACAAGCGAGGTTTACTTTGCCTGACCTTTTCTGATGACATTGCCACCCGTGCTGTGCTGGAGCTGACACCAGCTCAGCTTCCTCGGCCCGGCGCCGCGGGTGAATACGGCGCGTGTCCTGCGAAGAGGCTTCCTGGTGTTAACTCCGGCGAGGCACTGAACCAGAAACTCTTGGTCTCCCCAGCGAGTCCTCGCAGCCAGGGAAGCGATAGCTGTGTTTGGTTAGCGGCGGGAGGTGAGGCTGCCCCTGCTGTGGCTCTGCTCGTGCTCCGTGTCCCTGCGCTGTCACCCCATTGCTGTCGCAAGGCTCAGTCCTTCCACCCCTCGCCGCTGAGAGCCCTGCTGACTGGGATGACAAAGGAAAGATGTCTTTCCCCTTGCCTGGAGATGAGAGGTTTGCTTCTTGCTGAAGGGTCTGGGCATATTTTTTTCTCCCCATCTTACAGTGGAAAAGGGTTCTGCGCCCCCCCCCCCCCCCCCCCGCCTTTAAACCCACTGGCACCCACAGACAAAGAGATTTCTTTACCATTAAGGAAGGAGGAACAGCATTATTTTCTCAGCACAACTCCATCCTGGCTGAATTTATGTCTCTGACCTTTTACCCAAAGGCTCTTTACACTTGACTGAAACATAAGGTAAAAGTAAATGTGACTGAAAGAGCCTATTGTGTGTGCAAGTATAAAGGCTTTTGTGTGCAGGAGGTAGCATGCGGCTGCTTGTGCAACACGTAGCCAAGGAGCACCTTGGGTTGTGCTGATAGTCCTGAGACCCGCGGGGAGCGTGGAGCGAGAGCCCCGCTGGATGGATGGATGGATGGATGGATGGATGGATGGATGGATGGATGGATGGATGGATGGAAGGAAACCCAGTGTCTGGTACAAGCACAGGCTCCAGCCAGCCTCAAATCAGCACTTCTCCACCAGAACCCTCACTGCTGGCAACTTTGAGCCAGGTTTCTTCCAGGAGAGATGCACCGCTGTCTGGGGTTTTTTTTTTCTCCATATGCCTGTGACCAGGAAAACCCCTGCGGGGCACTGGGGCTCCAGTCCGTGCTCCGTGAAGCCATGAAAGCAGGGACAGATTAATAATACATCAGAGCTCCTTCAACAGGATTATTACAAGTGGTTTTCCTGAGCATTGGTTGGAGCAAGGATCAGAGAGGACAGGGATCCATAATCCTATTTATCTGAGGCCATATAATCTTCCTGAAGCTCTTTAATGGTGCCCAAATCTTTAATTCCAGAGCAGCCGCATGGGCTGCTGCAAGCCTGCTGTGGAGAGCAGGGGCCAGGGCGTCTCCTGGGTGAGGGAACTCCTGGGGAAGGGATCTCCTGGGCAAGAGGATTTCCTGGGCAAGGGGATCTCCTGGGCAAAGGGATCTCCTGGGCAAAGGGATCTCCTGGGCAAGGGGTCTCCTGGGCAAGGGGTCTCCTGGGCAAGGGGATCTCCCGGGCAAAGGGATCTCGAGGGCAAAGGGATCTCGAGGGCAAAGGGATCTCCTGGGCAAGGGATCTCCTGGGCAAGGGGATCTCCCGGGCAAAGGGATCTCCTGGGCAAAGGGATCTCCTGGGCAAGGGGTCTCCTGGGCAAGGGGTCTCCTGGGCAAGGGGATCTCCCGGGCAAAGGGATCTCGAGGGCAAAGGGATCTCGAGGGCAAAGGGATCTCCCGGGCAAGGGGATCTCCTGGGCAAGGGGATCTCCTGGGCAAGGGGATCTCCTGGGCAAAGGGATCTCCTGGGCAAAGGGATCCCCTGGGCAAGGGGTCTCCTGGGCAAGGGGGTCTCCTGGGCAAGGGGATCTCCTGGCAAAGGGATCTCGAGGGCAAAGGGATCTCCCGGGCAGGGGATCTCCCGGGCAAGACCTCCCTGCCGGCTTGCGGCCCCCCCCGCCTCGGGGCACTGACCCCTCGCCAGACCCATCCCCTGCGGCCCCGCTCCCCTCGGGGCCACCCGAGTCTCTCCACCGCCTTCCTGGCGGCAGGGCGGCCGCCGAAGGGGGAGGGTTTGCTCAGGTCATCCGACCCACACGGCTCCCCCCGGGGCGGAGCGGGGGGGGGGGGATTCAGCATCACTTCCCCCTCCCCGGGGGCTCCCCCGCCGGACCCCCGGGGCCGTCCCTCCCCGTGGCCGGGCCGCGGGTGGCTCCGAGCGGGCACGGCCGCGGCCGCGCTGCCTTAAGGGGGTGTCGGCGAGGGAAGTCCCGCCCCGCCGGGTCCCGGGGCGGGGGGGGGGGGGTTGACGGGAGCGGGGGGGGGGGGAAGAGACGGGGGGGGGGGGGACGGGGGGGAACCGAGGAGGGGGGGGCGCGGCCGGCGGCGGGTCCTGCCCGGCCCCTCGGCAGCGGGGCACTGACAGCTGCCCCGAGCGGGCACCCGGCGCGGCGCTCCCGTCCCCGGCCGGCGGTTCCTTCGGCCCCCGCCGCCCCATGGGCCCCCGCCGGTGCCAGGGGGGGCCGGGCGGGTACGTGCCGCCGCAGTGAGCCCGGGCCGAGCGGAGCGGGGTCGGGGGGGGGGAGGGGGGGGAGTGGGGGGAAGAGGAGGCGGCCGAAAACCCCCCGCGCCGCGGGCACCATGGACAGTATCCTGGAGCCCTTCCCCGCCGAGCGGCTCTTCCCCGCCGCCGGCACCGGCTTCCTCGACCTCGGCGACTTCAGCGAAGCGGACTTCCTCAGCAATGTGGTAAGGGAAGGCCGGCAGCACCCCCCCCCCCCCGCACCCCCCCCCCCCCCCCCCATCCCCTATTTCCACCCCTCTGCCCCATACAAACACCCCCCCCCCCCCCCATCTCCCCCCCGGCGGGGCAGCCGCAGCCCCGGCAGCGGGGACGGGACGTGCCGGAGGGTTCGCCCCGGGGCTGCGTGTGCCGGGCTCCTGCCCCCCAAATCGCGGTGCCCCGGGGGGTTGTGTGCAGGGAACCCGGGCTGCCCCTCGCCGCACACGGCCAGCGCCACCCCCCCACACCCCACCCCTCCTTCAGAACTGACCCCACCACCCGCGGGTGTCCTGCCGTGGGCACCCCGATGAAACCCCACTGGGGAATCGCAGGGTTTGTTTTTGTTTTTTTTTCTTTTGGATTTTTGTTTGGTTTTTTTTTTGTTGTTTTTTTTTTTTTTTTCCCTTACAATGCGCCTTTTTTTTTTGAGAGAGCGATGGCGGGGAGGGCACAACCTGCCGCGGTTCAGCTCGGGCAGCGCTGGGGGCACGGCCGGGTGCCACCGGGAGACCCTCGGGGCTCCTCCACTCTGCTTCTAACTTTTCCTCGGAGTGGCATTCGGGAGGTGAAGCATCTCCCGCTTGGCGTCAAAGCTGGGCTGATTTACTTTGGAGAGAAAGGTGAAGGGGAAGAGTGACTGGGGAGGAAAATGTCTTGCCAGTCCCAAGAAACCAAAGGGGCATTGTTCAACTCTAGGGAAACTGCCCAGCCTCTCCGAGGAGTCATGCGAGCCCCGGAGCAGCGCGCACAAGCTCTTTGCTGTCCTGCCCGAGCTTTTTGCGGGAGTTTGGGCTGCGAATCCTGCAACCCCGCTGCCAGGGAGGACCCAGCCCTGAAGAAAAAGGGGGAAGAGCCCCCCCCCAGTCCAGAGGTGGTTTGGGGTGAGCAGGGCACTGCCCGCACTCGGGGCTCCAGCGGCCTCTGAGCCGCTGCAGCTGTGGGACAGCGTGCCTGCCCAGGACAGAGAGATTTTAGCCGTGGTTTGTTGTTACTCAGTCACAATACCGGCACCTCCCGCGTTCCCGGCGCAGCACCGTGGGCATCTCTGAGGAACTACCCTTGCGCCGAGAGCGGGGTTGATGCCAGCAAAACAACACAGAAGCAGGGGACGGGGGGGGGGGGGTGTGGTGTGGTGTGTGTGTGTCTGTAGCCATTAAACACCTGATGAATCCACCCCTGCTTTGCTACACAAAAGACAGCGAAAGCCTTTTGCGCTGCCTCCCCTGTGGGGGAGACGCTGGAGACGCAGAATTCGCGTAAATGTTCAGTGCACCACGCTCGGTGTGTGGAGCCGCACCGGGTCTGGGAAAGAGATTATGCCGGCAGCCCCATCTCTCAGAAACCTCGCCAGCTCCTAATTTCCAAGATACCGCCGTGCCTCAAGGACTGGCTCCGGTCGGGCTCTACGGGAGGCAGCAGAGTCCCGCGGTGTTCAGGCAAACCTGCCACCCCGAGACCGAGCGCTCGCTCGCACTGCGCGGCCTTGCCCACCCCGATCTGAGAGACCCCCCTGTTAGGAGCCTTCTGCTTTCCCTAATTCCCCAATTCCATGTAGATCCAGTGTGGATGAAGCTATGCTGGTATGCTTTATTCCAGGACCGTTTATTCCCTTACCGAAGTGAAAATAATATGTATCAGCACCAGCCCTTTTGCCAAGGTGCAACACGGGCTGCTGTCAGAAGCCAGGGAACCCCCAGCCAGTGTGAGCAGTACCTCTTTGTAGCTTAAACACAACTTCTGCCTGCGAGCAGACCCGGTGAAAAAGAAGCTTTTGTGTAAGAGTGCCATCTGGTGCCACCTGCCAGGACAGTGTGTTTAAAGTGTGCAGTGGGGATGTGCAGGCTGGCTCTGTCCTGCCTCATTTAAATGGTTTTTCTGCTGGGAGAGCTGCTTCTCGATGTAGCCTGCCTTTGCCTTCCCGTTAACTAGGTTGCAGTGACTCAGGCACCGTTGTGCTCAACGTACAAGTAGAAAGGGTTTTGGTTTTTTGTTTGTTTGGGGGGTTTCTGTTTGGTTGGTTGGGTTTTTTTGTGTGTGGATTTTTTTTTTCCCAACTGCCAGCACCACAAACTTCGGCTGGAGTGTGAGAGTCGAGCTGATACCTTCTCTTCCTGCAGATGATAAATATAAGAGATTCTGTAGCCACTTCTAGCCTACCAAATCTGTTGGTGATACAAGAGCCAGAACATAATACATCACCCTCTTTGTTCTCACTCTGCATGACAACATGTGGGGAAGGAATACACTTACATTTTCTTACTAAATGCAGCAAATCTCCCGGGATCTTGAGATGTGTTGAGAAGTTCTTTTTACACAGAACTGTGCAAAGCATCACCGTGCACAATAGCTCACAAAGTTGCCAGTGCCTTTGCTTCAAAGATGGGCAAACTTTTCCAGATATTGTTCAGCAAGCGTTTTTCTTAGAGCGGGCCAGGAATTTTGGCCATAAAATGCCAGTATGAAACTTTTTCTGAGGAGGGTTTCTTCTGTTCAGAAAGGAAACGGAAAGAAAAGATGAACCCCACGCCAGAGGCTCTGCTCCTTTGGGGCAAGACTGACATGCCTCTAGACTACGCTCCTTTCCTGAACCTTGGCACTCTTAGCAAGTCATCTTGGTCTTTAAAAAATGGTTCTCTGTACTGTTCATCTAAATTTGTGACAAAGAAGTAATGAAGGCACGTCTGTAGATGCATCCTCAAAAAGGTCTGTGTGCTTAAAACAGGAAAAAAAAAAAAAAAAAAACGTATAATTTGAGTAAGTGTGTGGGCTGCTCTTCAGAGAGACCTAGCCAGGTTGGAGGAAAGGGTCGACAGAAACCTCATAAAATTCAGCGAGGACAAATACCGACTCCTGCCCCTGGGATGGACGGACTGACCGACCAGGGGTCATGGGGCAGTGCTGCGTCCCGGTCGCAGAGGCAGCAGCTCGCAGCAGGAGGGCGGAGGTAGACA